GAGAGAGGGCTGGTGGGGGGAGTGGCTGGGAGCCCCAGTTCTCCCTCCCTCCCCTCCTCTTTTGCACAGGACCAGAGGCTCCTAGCGCCAATCATAGTCCCACCTCCCAGTTGCTTCCCCACCCCCGCCAGGCTTCCATCCAGCGCCCCGCCAGGCATTCAGAAAATACCACACACTGCACATGTCTGGTACTTTCTGAATATTTCTGACAGACGGTGCAAATACCGGACTGTCCAGTAGAAAACCGGACCCCTGACAACCCTATCCTGGCGGGGGAAGGGGCTAAGACTTCACGTGCTCCTCCACCCCCAGACCAATCAGGATTTGTGAGCAGTGAAGTCTCCTGGCCCTGCCCTTCCACCTGAGGCCCTGCCCCTTCTGGGGCCGCCTGCGACCACTTCAGAAATTCCCAAGGTGGTTCCCCTTCAAAAATTATTGCCCACCCCTAGGCTAAATATTTGATTGGTTTAATTTAACAGGACGAATTGTAATAGTACTTTTTATATACAACATTTTACTACTCATCACTTGCAACATGTTTTTTATTTTATTTTCTATCACCACATTTCTGCTCCTAATTAAGACAACAATAAAAATTTGCTAACTTCAGTGAGAGTAGAAGAATGACCTTTCTGCCAAAACACAAAAATAGTTCATTTCATCAGGCAAATTAAAGAAACTGCTACTGAAAATCTTATTCTTTCATGAGGTGTTTAAGATACGACAGCCAAGCATACAACTGAGAAAGGTCACCAACAGGGTAAAGTTTACAACTATGAAATCCAATATGCTGTGTATGTTACTCACCGTCTGATGACTTCTGTCACAGTAGCGTAGTCCAAAGTAATCTATCTCCACAAGGTTTAAATGACGGAATACGTAGCCCAGGACAACAGACCCTTTCGTTGACTTCTGTGGGAAAGAATTTACAGAGTCTTTTCACAAAGTGTTCGGCCTTTGTCAGCTATGCACAGTGGTATTCATGCATTCAGTTAAATGTCTAAAAGAGGAGGCAGTTTTATTGATTAGAAACAATTCAGGTTGCCTTTAACCAAAGCCTCAATTAAAACCAGACAAATTTCAGAATCTCCTTACATACAGAGAATCAATTATTTTGTAAACAATACTGAACATTTGGTAATTGTTAAAAACATGCATCCTAAAAATATGTCTGTTAATAAACCCATAAGTTTTCTTAAGACATTTGTATTCATGGCAAAAATCTGTTCTCTGATCCACATGACAGATTTCATTTCTAAGATCTTGTGCTCCCTCCAAGCGTGGATCTCTCAGTCAAGCTCTGCCATTGCATATCTGAGGAAAATGTTGCCATTAAAGTGTAAACAATGAACCATAAAATGCTCCATTACTATTCTTTACGAAGAAGGCTGCTTTTTATTCCTTTCATTTTAAAATATTTGTATAAGTCTAGATGGACCCAAACCAATGTTCTGAATCTACATAACTCCATCAAGTGAGTGTTGTTGCATCATTTAATGTCCACACTATTACTTAAACACAACACTGGTGAGGTGGCTCAAATTGCTCCTTCATTGTTGTGGTGTTGGCATGACAGATGCTCATTGCTATTTAAAGGCCTTTATTTCCGTGCTGTCTCACAGCTTGTGCTGAAGATTTCAATTATTGATTGGTCAGAAGTGCAACATCAGCAGCAATCTGTCCAGAAAGATTTGGGATGCGTAAATGAGATTATCCATCGTCTGAAAACTGGTGAGTTTTGAACAGTCTTCCCCCTAAACTGCATGGCAACACAGCCCCGCAGCTGCTTAATGAGCCCTGCCCAGCCAGGGGCTCAGGACTAGTGACTAGTGCTTCCCGCTGAGGACAGAGCAGTGAGTCTCTCCCTACCAGCTGACAGATGGCAAGTCATGGCGTAATCCTGCATAAAGCTGCCCCAGCTGCAGAGATTGAGAGTTCTCCTCCCCTTACCCATTAGGTGGGGACGGGGAATCATTCCCCCAGGATCTGCAGTGTAGAGTCTGCACGAAGGATGCTCAATATGCACGTCTCCTCCTTCCAAACAGAGGTGGGACAACAGCCTTAGTAGCACTGTCCTGCTGCACAACTTCGGATCCTGCAGCAAACCCTTCAATGTTTTCCAAAGATGAATATATACAGGCAGTCCCCGGGTTACGTACAAGATAGGGACTGTAGGTTTGTTCTTAAGTTGAATTTGTATGTAAGTCGGAACTGGTCATATTGTAGGGGAAACTCTAGCCAAACATTTCTCCAGAGCTCAGTTTTATTCTCCCACACCTCACTTCCCTCAGTCCTTTATTCTCAAGCTGAGGTGTCTGCTGAGAAAAGCCGCTCCGCGTCTCCCTGGTCTGCTGGGGGAGGGGGGGGCGCTAGCTTTGTGTCTCCCTGGTCTGCTGGGGGGAAGCAGCTAGTGCGGGGTTGCCTCACCCCGTTTGTAAGTAGGGATCTGATGTAAGTCGGATCCATGTAACCCGGGGACTGCCTGTATATAGGGAGTAGTCAGCAGGGGGACTGAAGCTGATTGAAGGAATGTACAGCAACTCCTCATCCTGGGCTTGAAACAAGCAGCTAGCTTTTCTCAGTACCACACAAGCTCAGCAGTAATAAAAGTTCTGTGGGCCAAATCACAGCTTCAGTGACTCCTACACAACCCCATTTCCCATAAACTATGCCCCCAATGCAACCTGTCTTCAGAGGATTCAGGCCCGTATGCAGGAATTTCTGTGGGAGGAGAGGTGCACTTTTTTTTTTTTGTAAACGTGGGCTACAATTTTGTTAACTATGGAAGAGTTCAAAATAGACACGCATTGAGTGCGCATAAGAGAGGTTAATGAAAAATGTGAGTGGAAACAGTAATTGGTAAAATGATTTTGTTATAACACACTAAAAATGTATGCAGTAATAAAGGTCTTAGAGAAATTACCTTCTGGATCATGGTGGGCAGCGTAGCTGCCAAGGCCCCTTATTCCCTCGGCCGCCACTGCCTGTTGCTGCGCTACCAGCTCAGCAAGGCCAGTTTGGGTGAGTGCAGCCAGTGAGGCTGGGACCGAACCACTCCTTGTGGGTAGGATGTGCTATTCCCCCAGCTTGGCAGCATGGCCACCAGCCCTGGCCACTCATGCCCCCCACAACACAGAACTCTCCCATCTACCTAACACAGTGGTTCTCAAACTTTTTGGTCCAAGGCATACCAGCTCAATGGAAACCTTTCTGTGGACCACCAGTCGCTAATGGAAACTCTTCCTTCATTACGTAATTATGCTCAAGCCATTTTGCTAGTGCTGCAGCTAGGGAGAACAGTTTAATTTAACCAGTTAAGAAAGGAAATATTAATTTAAATTATTAAACAGACTAAGCCCTTTAACTTTCTCATGTTAGTTTATCAAACTTCATTTTAAATAAAGTAAAATATTAATTTATGTCCAACAAAAAAGGTTCCCATGTTTTCTTTATTTATGGTGGAGTGGGGAACCTTCTTTGTGTCAGGGGCCACTGACCCACAGAAAAATCAGTCGGGAACCATATAAGTGAGAAGAAGAAAAAAATTTCTCAACCTCCAAACCCCACCTCTCCTCCAGTGCTCCAGCCCCACCAAGGGAGGGGGGCGGAGACAGGGAGGACTAAGGTTCAGGGTTTCCCATAGAATCATAGGGTTAGAAGAGATCTCAAGAGGTCATTGAGTCCAAACCCCTGCCCAAAACAGGTCCAACCCCAGATTTATTCTTTTGGGGTTCCAGGGTTAGTGGATTTTCTGGACCCCCCCAGACTCTGGGGTTGGGACAAAAATGGGGGGGGTCACTGTGTGGGACAGGGCTTCCAGAGAGAAGAATGGGGCATACATGATCTGGGCAGGAGGTGGGGTGCAGGAAGGGATGAAGGTACAAGGTATGGATGGAAGGTAGGATACAGGAGTAGTCTGAGAGTAGGGTGTCTGGCTAGAGGGAGGGGGCTAGAGCAAGAGCAAGGGAAGGTGCAGTGTGTGGCCACGAAGGAGGGTGCAGGAGCAAGGGTGGGTGCAGGAGTGGACTGGGGTAAGATGTCAGGCCGGGGAGAGGATGTAGGAGCAGATTGGGGGGGCAGGTGGAGGAACGGGGTGGGGATAAGCATCTGGCCAGTGGGGAGGGGGCAGGAGCAGGAGCAGGCTGTGGGGTAGGGTGCCTGGCCAGAGGGGAGGATGCAGGACCAGGCTGGGAAGTAGGGTGTCTGGCCAGGGGGAGGGTGAAGGAGTGCACTGGGGGTGAACGGTCTCAGAGGGGTTGTATGTGCATGAAGAGGCTGGGATTTTAGGGGTCTGGGCATGATGGGGTGGGGAGGCACTTACTTGCCTCCACGCCCCATGCCAGTCTCAAGCACTACCTCCCACTGCTCTCAGATTCCAGCCAATTCCAGCCCCCAGGCATGTGCACTGCCTTTCCCCCAGCTGGGGGAGAGGAAACGCTTCTTCCCCATGAGCCAGATTGCGCAGTGAGCTCCTTCCCCCCCCCCCCCCCCGCCCCTGACAGTGGGAAGCCAACACTGGCACTCCAACCTTGCAGGAGGGGGAGGAGGGAGGGAAAGGCTAGAGCACCAGCACAGGTTCTCTGCTATGGGGGGGATGAAGGAGGTCTGAGCTCGAGCTGCGGAGCCCCCCCCCCCACACTTACTTGGGGGACCATGGGTGCGGTGTGCTCACACTCTTCACACCCTCTCCCCTGCATATGGGTCTGGGGTTGCACAAGTGTAAGTGACTGTCTCTGTTGCTGGTCTTTAGCTAGTCATTCTGCTGATGATGCACCAAGAGGAAGAGAGCCCAGTGAAAGTGATGTCTAGCCAACAAATGTAAAAAGCAGAGCAAACACATTTTTGTCATTCGTCAGCAGGTCTGACTTACAACCCTTAATGGTATGAGCTCAGTTGTTAATGATGCCACTTTTACATAAACATTTTTCAGAACAAAACCATATTTTAAGTGCCCACTCAATTGCACTAAAAATTCAGACAATAAGCTTTTCAAACCTTTTGTTTGTCAACCCTCAAAAAGAACAGCATTGAAGATATTAGTGAAATCAATAAGGCAAAGTCAGGGGAATATTTATAGATTTATGATTCAGGAGTTGCATATGAATTGTATGATCAGTCGTTTGCATTATTCAGTCTTGTTATTTTATCCTGAGTCTCACAATATGTTGGTGACTTGACTTGCTGTCAAGTGATTTTGTGAGAATCTCAGTTTTCATTCAAACTAAAAGTATCTAACCCCTGGGGTTTAGGAGGAAATCTTAAAAATCTGAAGTGAGTTTCCATTAAAGCGTTAGCAACCACAAGATAATAAAAAGAATCCAAAATGTTTCTGTTTAAATTGCATGCCACTGTAAGTCAATCTCAGGATATTTTGAGACCAGACTCCATTTTTAAATGTCTGAACGTGGTGATAGAGAGTAGCTGAAAGGGGCACTTGACCCTGTGACCTAAACCAAGCAGCCTTAATGGCACTATACCACCAGATAGGTAAACTTAGTTTGTAGGGAATGCTACAATGCATGCAAGCCACTTCACAAGATGTGAGGCAACAGCTGTTGCTGATAAAATTGTCAGTGCAACAATCTCCAAAAAGCAAAAAATCTCCGTCAAAGTGTCAGCAGGATTACACACACAGCATGTGAAACTGCAAAAATTACACTATCTACATACCATTAAGATAAGACTTGCTAGGGGCCTATATTCTTAGAGAGAAACTCACAGTAGAATAAGTTTACTTCAAAATACCATCAGCAATGCTTTCAAGATAGAACAAATAACTGTTCAAATGAGTCAGAACATCTTGTTTTATATTTTAGCAACATGATTTTCAAAACCCCAAAGGCAGGTTTCTACTAGCTAAGCAAAATGACAACAGGAACATTCAGAAAATAACTTATTTTATTTTTTTTAAC